TGTGGTTTGAGTAATCAATTCTCTTCGCACAGTGCGGAGAAATGACAAATCATCTCTTCGCCCTGTGCGGAGAGTTTTGCCACGGTGCGAAGAGTTGGCATTGTACGAAGAGATTTTATTTATTTATTTTTTACTCCGCAGTGTACAGAGAGTTTGCCAACTCTCCGCACATTGTTTGCCATCTCTCAGCACTATGCAGAAAGTTTTTTTTTTTGGCTCATGGTAATTTACATATACTAAAATTATTATTATTTTTTTAATGTTAATGACATGATGTGTGGAAGAACATTTGTCTGACCATAAACAAAATGAAAAATAAAAAATGATATCATATACGGTAAAATTGGATTAATTTACTGTTGCATCAACAGTAGAGCCTTCTTCCCCTTTTTATAAGAAGTTAAAAATATGGAAACAATGAAATTGTTCCTGCAAATTCCACTGCATCCTCTAAAGAGAAATCATCTTCTTCTTTTTTCTATGATAGCTCAAAAACGTCATGGTTGTTATTCTTCTTCTACAAGTTCAAGTTCAAGCAATAACATCAACACTACACCTGTAGAATTGGAAAGATATTATAATTTTGATCACTATATTTTAATTCCTGAAGATGAGTTATTAAATTTGGATATTTTACGATGGTGGAAATTAAATGAACGATCTTATCCAATATTATCAAAAATGGCACGTGATTTATTAACATTTCCAATCTTACCAGTAGCATCCGAGTTTGCATTTTGTGTAGGTGGTAAAAGTATTAGAGGAAGAAGATCGAGGCCGAATGAAGATATTATGGAATTGTGTAAAAGCTTGGCTATTTGCTGAGAGGAGAATACAAGATAAAATTATTGATGGCATAGCTGAGGACTTAAAAAACCTCACAACAGAAGATTGATCGACAAGCAAAAATTAATTTGAACGACTTAATACAGTTAAGTAAACAACTTAGTTGGGATTTACTTAAACTATATAAATACAAATAATTACAATGTCATGACATCAATAAAAAGTATAAAAATTAATAATTCAAAATTTCAATAAGGAAAAAAAAAAAAAAAAAAAAAAAAAGAAAAAAAAAAAAAAAAAAAAAAAAAGGTAAACACGTACCTAAAAATTAAGCAACTTTTCATTTATAATTTAAAATGAATACTTTTTTGACGGAAAAGGCTGCGGATGTTGGTTGTACATTCACATGTCATCAATCATTAAAGTGGTAATTATAATTGAAAAAAAAAAAAAAAAAAAAGCTACAACCCTACTACCAATCACTTTCACGTGTCAAATATCTGCCATTAACAATGTCGGCATTCACTGGCGGATCCAGCACCTGGCGAGCCCCCGGGGCCGTGGGTGCTAGATCCGCCGGAAGGAACATTTTTTTTTTTTTTTGTTGATGATGTCTAAAGTTTTATATTATATACCTGATAAGTCATTTTAGGCCAAACGCTTCCTCTAGTGTGGTTGATTGATGCTTCCACAACCACATGAGAAGTCCCGGGTTCGATTCTAATTCAAAGCAATTTATTGTTCAATTTTTCTAAATCAATGATTTTTGCTAAAACTAACGCAAGGAGGGAATTCGAACCGTTGACCCTTATTAAGATTGTTGGGGACTTGACCATCGTCGCATTCCGTGTAACAATTTATATATTCAATTTAGTGGTTTTAATGCAAACAAAAGGATTCAAATTTCGAATCTTCGACCTTCCTTTGAATTATGAATAATATAGAGCGCTTGAACAGATTGAATTCAGTTAACAAGTGTTGCAAAAATAATATATATTCACATTTAGCATAAATAATTATTGTGACCAAAGATCAACCGACGACCTTCCGTACTTACTCCGAATCCTAGATTTGCCCCTGTCGGCATTAGACCTTTTCAAATTTCAAAGAACGTTAATAGAAACAATTCATTCCTCAAATTGTAAATTAAATAGATCGTGCGATCCTAACCAGATCTTAACTGACTCACCACAGTGGCGGGCGTATGGCCCAATTCGGTCTTCAATAATATATTATGGTTCGGGCTTGATTTGGATCGAAAATTGGCATGGGCCGGGTTGATAGCACTATCGGGCTCATGCCGGTTAAGCTTGCAGGTGGGCCGATTTGGGCCAACCTATTCGTTTTGACGTGCCTATCTTAACCCTTGTCTTTCTACTAGTGTCTGCATAGTCATTTACATTAATTTTTATTCGTGAGATGAATTGCTTGAATTCCGTATAGAGAATTGGTTTTTATCAATTTTGAAATAGTTATTTAAGTGGATATCGTTATTTGTTTAATGAAAAATTAAATCAAATTCAAGTCACTTAAATACGTGAAATTATTAGAAAATCGTGTAGAATATTATGAAATATTCGAGAACCGTTTGGATGAAAATGTGTCTTTCCATGTGAAAGATCGTGACTTTTGGAATTATTATTTTCTCAATAGGTGTATCTCTTCATGTATTGAGATAATTTTCAGGAGTTGTGTCTTTTGAAGTGCAACTTTTCAACAATTATATATAGATTCCATGTGTTTGGATGAAATTCATTTACTTCATGATTGCATTATTATACTAAAGCATATACATTTCAATACAATTCCACATTTATTTGAAATCAAGTTTCATATAAAAAGAGTTTAAAACATAAGTATATTCGTTGGTCTACATAATTTGAAATGATTATATTGCAGAACGTGGTCGTTGTATGTTGGAAGACGAATGTCCAAAAAACTGTTAGCACCCGTGTGAGATATAATTGTTTTAAGAACAAAAACTTTAACTTTTCCTCAACCAAATTCATATTCATATATTTCTCGTTTCTACTTCACGTATTCAATTTCGGTAAGTATAAATTTTGTCCGACTTTGTGCTTGTAAAAGGTAAGATATTAAAATATAATTTATGCACGTTCATTTTTCCAACACCAACCACTTGCGAAAATTTTTTAGAATGATTAAAGATATGGATATCAAGTTATAAAACAAGATGGAAACCAAAACAAACAACATATTTGATATCAGAGCTGGTGAGTAGCAGGTGGAGATAGAGTTAGTCGACGGTAAAGACAACAGCCGCAACCTGCAAATGCGGTGGCGACGACCGCGGATATTATCTACTCTGTTTGGGATAGGAATTGGGCAGCGTCTTTTGGTATTTTGAAAAATAACTTTTTCAACCCTCCAATGATGAAATTTCAAAGGTACATTATGTACATCTTAAGGTACATGTAGAATTATCCTTTGAAAATAAGTCATAGATAATCAAAATCAATATTTTGGCAATGAAAACGAAGGGATCCACTTTTTTAATTCCTTAATAGAAACGAGTAATGGATATAATCCCTCTTCAAGATTTTATTCTCATGCCCTCTTACTTTTTACTGGAACATAATGATAGCAATAATATTATTCATATCAAAAAGAAAAACATGGATACAAGTAGAATTGTGTTACGTAATAGATATGGAAAAGACAACAAATGTACTTCTTACTAAATAGTGCGACACAATTAAATGCAACGTGTAGATTAATTATTTTTTGCGTAATAGCTAAGCACGACTATATAAGAAATGCCGAAATAATATTGATTACAGATATTTGAAGTGACGTGAATAAGAAATTATTACTTAAAAGACTAGTTTAATCTAATTTGCCCAAAGAACAAGGAAAGATAAACGAACCTATTTTTCGATTGTGTTAACCAATTGCAACATCCTTGTGCCGGTTGAATTCAGTCTACGGTAATAAAAGGTCCTACAGGGGCGACCTGAGAACACATATCGAATCACTATTTCACACGACCTTTTAAAAGTCGAAGGCTCAAATGCAAAAACACTACGATGAAATTGTGATATACATGTGGTCTCATGTCGACCCTATTGGACCTTTCACCATTACCCTCTTTCCCAAAACTTATTACCAATGTACAAAATCTTCCAATTCTTATATAGCGTAGGGTGAGTCACGGTTTTTTGTTTGTGAGTACTACAGGGCAGTACATGCTTCGGAGTTTGTACTTGGCAAGTACAATGTTGTACTCTGTTACCATCATCCATTTATTGTACTACAACGGGTTAATGTACCTCGTGAAGAAAGAATCTTCCAATAATTTTACGTAACTTATTGGACTGAAAATCCTCATTGTATACACGCTACAGTTGGAATTTTATCGGAAAGTTAGGCAAAGTAATCAATTTGTTATCTTAAAAATAGAATTCTAAATTTTAAGAATAATGCTATTTGTAGATAATTTTTAAAAATTACTGTAAAGAGAAAGAGAAATAAACAGTTTGAAAGAGAGAGAGACACAAAAAAAAGAAGGAGAAAATGAAATTATTTAAATTTTAATGTAACGTCATTTCATCAATTTGTACACGAATATGTAAATGATTATGCATATGTAGCATTATTCAAATTTTAATTCTGATCATTTAAATTGGACTGGACTGGATTGTATTAACCTGTTCAATTTGATTTCAATTATACCTCGTGTATGTTCAAGTAGTTGAATTGAGGATTAAACGGTTATGATCAAATTCTCGTTTAATTCGATTCGAAAATTATTATTCTTAAATAAATTTTCAATTAAATTATTAGATTTCAATATATCTATTGAAAATACAACACTTTTATCAGATGAAATTTCACGGCTCTCAATTGAAATCTATTTAGTTGTTTGAGAAAGTTTCTAATAAAAAAGTTCCATCGAATTTTGATAAAAGCTGATGAAACTTATGATCGAAAAGTTAATAAGAATTGCAAGTCTCATAAAGTGCGTGATTAAAATTAAAGTTTGACAATCGACAAATTAATAATTCAACGAAGTTTTATCAAATTGGCTACAAACACTAGGTAACTACCTCTCTTGAACACATATAAAGAAAAATTTATTTATACTTCGCTCTCAGATGAACGAAAATTTCCGCGAACGTCTTTCGCTTATTTTCTTTGAATTTGGTTCTTAAAGAAATCTCTGGAACCTTTTGTGTTTTAAGTTTAAATTAATGTACAATAAACGCGACACCAGAAATACATAGAGACTATTCCAACTTTATGTTCAGAAGAACAAATCATTTCAGTAAAATCAAATTACACACAAAGTCCCATTTTACAGTTGAGATTGCATTTGCCAAGGATGAAAATTCACACCAAAACTCTTCAAGAACTGTACGTTTTCATTTACAGCCAAAACCTCAATTCCCTCATAGAAGGAATACCCATGAATGGAAGCCGAAATGTCAAAGAAATAGAGATCATACACCGCCATAAGGAGGTCGAAACTCGTTCTCTTCATTTGGCAGACACGTTTCTACTCTGTTTCTTGCATGTCCTCTTCGGTTTTCCAAACTACATCCTCAAGGCAAGTCGAAAGGTTTTTGTAGAACTACAAAACCGACGGCAAACATAAAAAAGTGAAGAGATTATTAACTATGTTGTATAAAAAGAATACAGTAATATCTCTGTAGCACGGACACTTCAATTAGAGTAGCGTGTCCATGTCCAACACTTGTTGGACACGTGTCGATGCTGACATTTCTCGGACACTTTACCATAAATATTTTTCACTGTTTAATAAAAATATTATACATTTTTAACTTAAATTTATTAGTAAATAACAAATAGGTAATCATATTTAAAAGATTTTCACAAAGAAAATTAATAACAAGTGTAAAACTAAATTTCTACTATATAAATGAAGATTTTTAAAGATTTCAATCAACGAGTTGGCGACATGTTGTGTCGGTTCTTTTTTGAAAAATCACGTGTCGGCATATTTGACACGTAATGTGTCAAACACACGTGTCCATGTCCATGCATCATAGAGTAACACATTCAAATCTGTAAAAGAACTGGAAAAAGACCAGATAATAGAAAAGCAGCAGTAGTACTCAAGTATTTTTTAGTTTTCCTTTAGTTCTGAAAGATCAGATTTTCATTTTTAAATTTTTGAGCATCGCCATAATATTTAATTCAGCTACTATTACTGGAATTCATTTATCATTCGGATTACCTTAAAATAGTGTTTCGGTGCAAAAACTTCGAGCAATTTAGATGGTCAAACCCTCAACAATATTATGAGGTGTCGAAAATCTAAAGTTTCATGTTTCGGCCTTTCATTATTTTAATTCAAAACTAAATAAAAATGAAAGACAAATTATGAACATAATTTTTGTAGACTGGGTACCTTGTGGAATTCTAAAGTATCTCCCTTTGCCTTTCTCACCTCAACCATATGCAGAGAAGGGGCAACTTGGAAAACCTGATTCAATTGCATAAAGAGTTTGAACATAATGTATATGATTCATAAAGAGTTTGAACATAATGTATATATTAAAACAAAAAAAAAAAAAAAAAGAAAAAAAAAAAAGAGCTCTTGGATTACTTTTTTCGGGATGCTACTACAGCAAAAGGGGGGCTGACCACCCCCCTGACCGAACCCCACAAATAGGGGGGGAGGACCCCATTTTTTTTTTGCGGTCCCCGCCCCCATTTGTGGGTCTCCTGTCAAGGAGGCGGTCAGCTTCCTGTTACAGGAGCAAATTCCCTTTTTTCGAGCCTAAAATTGTATTTGAGTAAAACAGTGGATTGGAATCAGCATTGACGTACCTCGGTGGCAACATTAAGGTTTCCCTTTCTTCCGGCTTTTACATTTTCTAGCCTCATCTGTGATAAATTACGGAAAATGATTTAGTTTTAGTATAATGATATCAAATGAACTTAAAACTAATCACTCCCTATTACATAACAGTAGTCTACACAAGCATACGAGATCCTGTACCTTGTAATTCTTCTTGTGAACATCAAAACCGAGAGGTTTTGCAGCTTCTTCAATTTTATTGATTATCTCATTGGCAGGGCGTGTAGACGAGAACCTCGTTTCCCTCTTAAATTCCTGCAACTAATTAAGTCAGAAACAAAAGATAAACGACAAGAAAAAACACCTTGTGCACATAATAAATTCTTTTTCTTTTCTTTTCTTTTCTTTTTTAATTGTTGAAGCTTCAAGCATGTTTGGCTAACTTAAAAATTATACTTACCAATTAAATAACTAAATTTTAAAATAAATAATTCTTTTATTGGCATAACTTAAAAATAAGTAAGTTACTTATTTCAATGATAAGGTAAGAATTACTTCTAAAATAACCTTTTTCTCTTAAAGTAAGAAAAAAAAAGTAAATTAACCAAATGTCTCAAAACAAAAATCTACTTAATGATCTTTAACATTAGAAATAAATGATTGCTTATGTTAGCATGGCATCCGACCCAGTTAGAAGGAAGCCTGTAAAAAGAGATTAATAGAGCTAGTCTCCATTATTTTGTCTTGTTTATCTGAAACTGTTCTGATATCGTCCTTGTGGAAACTACCTAGCATGCAATATAGTACTTAAACGAGTATAAACTCCAATTCGCGAAGCCAGAGATGTCTATGAAGAGAAGAAATAAATTCCAACCTGTTCTGCCTCGAAAAGATTCCCAAGGTTGAGACCTTTTGACATAGAAATCAACTCAAATGCATTCATGGCTACTGGCTGCTGCTCCTTTTTCTCTGTCACGAGATATTCCTGTAGTAAGCAATAGATGTGCAGTCTATTGAGTATTTTTCAACAAATTTTTTTGTTAATCTCAAATAGTCGGTAATTAATAGTTCCATTTTCTCCGCAAATTCACCTCAGAATTCTTAAATACAGCTTCCACATCGTCCAGATTCGTATCTTCTTTCTCATCAAATACTGGTGGTTTATAGTCTTTCTTAAACCACTCGTCCTTCAAAATTTCTGGGATTGTAATGCGCTGGACAAACATATCAATCATGAAATTGTAATGCACTGGACAAACATATCAATCATGAAATGGAAAAAAGAGCACAAGTTAAAACACAAAGAACACAATGCCAAGCTTCTCTTTTCTTCTTCCTCTGAATTTTTTTTTTAGACGGAAAATTTTTATGTACAAGATAACTTGTATCGGCCTGAAAAAAAAATAAGTAGGCTTACAGTCACAGGATTTGGATTCAGGATTCGAGTAATGAACTTCCTGGCATTGAAGGATATCCAAGGAGGGCAGGTAAATTCAGCAGAAGAGATCTGGACAAGCCACAAAGGAGACGATGAGACTACCAATGAAATAACAGATAAAATTTGATAATCAGCGCAATTTAACAGTCATAGTGCTCACTTTATTATATAGGTTCATGAGATTAGAATCATCAAATGGCAAGTAACCTGCAAGCAATACAAAGAGTATGACTCCACACGACCACAAGTCCGCAGTTGCCCCATCATAGCCATGATCATCTAGAACCTACACATAATTTCATATCTGTTTGAAGACTAAATTTATTTTTTAAGTAAATATGTCAAACTTTTGGATGAGGTAGTTCAATAATATTATTATTCAAGACAAGTGAAAAAAAAGCAGCAGTGCATATGTGTGCAGGAATGAAGTACATAATTTAGTAATTGTACCTCGGGAGCAACATAGTTTGGAGTTCCACAGGTAGTATGAAGCAAACCATCATCCTGTTAAATCAAATTTGTGAGAACTAAATGACGCGAAGTAAAGGTGAAATATAACAAATATCTGTGCTTGGAAAAAAAAATGCATCCGCATTTGACCATATGGTTTATATTAAATGCAATAACTATGTTTGTTTTGCATTCCCGCGTTGTCCAAGCCAATTTTCTTCTGTCCAATTAGCATTAATGAAATATCATTCTTCAAAACGACCAATGGTTGATTGGTTATTTAACCACATCCTTTTTATTTTAGCCCGCAGTTCCAGTCATCGACTTTCCTTCCATCAGCCCAAGAAACGAACCAAAAAGGACCAGACAAAAACTTCAAGAAATAGAAGAATTGATCCATCTTCATTCAACTATGTCCCAATTTGTACAAATTTTTAATCAAGTGACGAGCCTTCCCAAACCAGATGGCCATGACATTATTAATGATATATGTTTAAAAAACGACCATAAGCCTAACAAGTTTTGTATGCCAGGTTTCTAGTTTCAAGTTCCTCGATAACAAACTTTAGTGTCATATTTACCCCGTTTGAATCTTTCACCCTTGGAGCCTAGAGTGTCATTAATACAAGTCGATTCTTGATATAGAGGGTGTTTGACACCAATTTTTATTGAAAAATGAATTTTAGAATAATAGATTGATGCAGAATGTGTGGATGAAAAATAAGGAAAAGTTTTTTATTTACGTGTAATATTATTTTAATGAAAAATGTGTGGTTAAAAACAAGAGAGAGAAAATTTTTTTTTGATAAAAATGATAATCAAACGGGGCCTATTCAACTACATGACTTAATGACCACAACAGCTGGTCATGCGTATCCAACACATTTACACATTTCTTGCCCTTACTTGGCGGCAA